GCCGCCCGCGCCCGCGCCGCCAGGTAGGTGGGCTGAGCCGGCGGCCGCGGGCCTCGGGTGCCCCTGCTGCTCCAGGAGGCGGTGATGGCGAAGGGAGGCGGCGGCGTGACAAGGGCGCCGGCCTGGGGTCCCCGGCAGTGCCTTGTCCGTCCTGTGCTGCTCTGCGACCCCAGCTGCCAAAGCACTCCGGGCCTCAGTCTCCTCGTCGGCAGCACCGAGGGTTTGGACCCAGCTCAGAGCGCTGGACGGCGGGAGGCCTGGGGATTCCCACCCCGGAGTCCTTCCTGCTTCTGCTTCCTTCCCTGAGGGGTGGATCCTGGCTCCCGGAGTCCCGGCTGTCCCCTCGGCGTTCGTTCATTCCTTCATTCATTCCCACGGTAAAAGCTTGCTGCGCACCTTCTACTGCCAGTCACTGGCCCGGGGCCTTGGATGCCACATTCATGAGCAGGACAGAGCCTGCCCTTGCCGGCTTGAGGTTCATAGCCCCACGTGGAAGACACACATTAAAAGTAAACTTTTGGTTCTAACACAGCGTGGTGAGTTCTGTGGTGAAGGAGCAGTCGTGCTAGCATTTGAGTACCGACTGTCCCCGCACTGAGCTAGACCCTTTGCCTGATTTGTCCCACTGGATGCCTACAAACAGCTTTGAGTCCATCCTATTAATGTCCCTATTCGCAGATGAGGAAACTGAGGCACCGAGAGGTTAAGTCACTTACCAAAATGACAGATGCGTCTATCCCCAAAGCCACTGTATTCTGTGTGGATGAGGGTCAGGGCTGGCTGCCTGAAGGAGGTTGATGGCTGCCGCATATGGCACGTGTCCTAATGAAATTGCATATTCATGGAAATGTCTGGCATAAGACAGCATTCAGATCACCATCTTAGGTCCTTGCAGCTTTGGCCTCTTTGAGAGATAAAGTCTGGCAGGAACAGAGATAAGGTGCTGTGGTCTGTTCTGATTCCTGGTCCACGTGAGGACACGAGTCTAGCAGATGTAAGCATCTGGGCTCTTGCCCTGCAGGCGACTCCCTGGGAGTGCTGTGCTGCGTAGGGGCTGATAGGGGTGAGTCTAAAATAGTGCACGATGCTTGTAGGTAAGTTTGGGATGGTCAGATCCGGCTGGTGATTAAGAGACACTACAAGCGTATTCTAAAAGTTCATGGAAAGATAGAACTGAAAGATAATGTGAGTCTTTCCATGAACTTTTTGAAGTACCCTGTTAAGAGACGCTGGCTTCCTGCGTGAGGAGGGGAGGAGAAGGAACGTGGGGAGACTTTGCGGGGTGCCAGGCCCCTGCGGAGTGTTTACGAGCATTTGGTTCTTCATTGTCACCCCAAGCCTGGGAGGTGGGGGAACTGTTATTATCCCCACTTTACCATGAGGCAGTTCAGGCTCTGTAAGGTTGTTAATTGCCCAGGGTCACATGATGAATAAGCAGAGGTCTGGACTCCGACCCCCATCTGTCTGAACTCCAAAGCCAGAGCCCCAATCACCTGCTGCAGGGCTGGTGGCCCATTTGGTAGCTGAGTCAGCCGAGTGATGCTCATGGGGTTAACCAACTGTCTCAGCTTCGCACAGCTGGTCAGTTGAAGGTGGTGGTGGCTCAGACCTGGGTGTTCACCTGGAGGGGGCTCTGGCAAAGGCAGGGCTGACGGATTTTCTTACGGTTTCCTGTGATCTTTGCAACAACCTCCTTTCTAATGGGACTCCTTTCCTCCTGTCTCCTCTTTCCAGTCTCTATTTCTAAAATGCACGTCTGACAATACAATTTGCCTGATTAAAAACCTCCAGGGACATCTGATTGCCCACAAAAGATAATGTACAATTCCTACCATGGTGTATAAGGTAGCTTACCTTCCCCAGAGCTCCCAGCCCAACACGCGGGCGCCCGGGCGCCCTGCCCTGCCCTCCAGCCGTGTGAGACATCGTGCTGTTCCCGGATGCCTCTGCGCTTCTGCACAGCTGTTCTCTCTGCCTCCAACTCTGGTCCTGCTCAGCCTGCAGGACCCAGAGAGATCGCCTGGGGACGCCTTCCTGACCCTCCAGACTAGACCGACTCCTCCTCCTTCTGCTTCTGGGCATACTCTGTCCTCCTCATGGCCCAAGTCATGATTTTATCTTACACTGATTTGCTTTTCTTGTGTTTGTTTTATTTTATTATTTTTATTTATTTCATCATTAAAACTTTTTTATTTGTATCAAAATTATCCGTGCACATAATTTAAAGTGTTAGTTTATAAGCAGCCACACCCGCACCTGTTTTCCACGTCTCGTAAGCCACCGTGTTCAATCCTTTCAGCTGGTTGTTTAGGTAATTTACTTCCCATTTATAAGTAACTTGCCTGCATTAATGCTGCTGAGTTTTTTGGCTGTAGGCAGTAGCTGTTGACTTTCCACCCTGGGGAGGATGAGGACTTAGGTCTCTTTGCCCCCTCCTCCATAAGTAGGCCCACCCCTCCCAATACCACCACCCCCTCTATGTAGTTATAGGGTACTTTGGGTTAAATCAGCATTCAGTGTTTCCATTATGATGATTCTGTAAACATTATTTGCTGTAAGTCAAGGGTCAGTTATGGTTATGAATACCTTCCTGTCTTGTACCACATTTTGTTTTCCCTGAAATTAGTAGTTACTCAGTATCTTTTCCTCTGCTTAGATTCTGTGTACTCATCAATCATTTAATGCAGACCTGTCCCCCACTGATGAGCATTTCCTTCAAGACATTTGAATACATTCGATGTTTGATCCATTTTATCTTCTTGAGAAAAACATCTCTCCCAGAAACGTTCTGACATGCTCCAGTTTGAAGCTGGTTGCTCTCTTAGACCGCAGCACTCCAAAGTGTGGGCCAGACCAGCAGCATCAACACTGAGGGGTGCTTGACAGAAACACAGATTCTTGGACCCCAACACAGACTCACTCAATGAAAATCTCTGGGGGTGAGACCCAGCAAGCTGTGGTTAACAAGCCTCCCAGCAATTTATGATTTATAATTTAAACATCTGCTCTGGGCTTTCACTGTCACCATGGAGACCTCTGGGGCCATGATGCTGGACTTCCTCATCTCTCTCCTGAGTTGGAGCCTGTTGCAGGAATCCCCTGCACTCACCTGTCTTTGGTGAATCCTTGCATGGCTGAGAACATCTTCCAGTAGCTTTCTGAGAAAGGGAGGGTCGCAACTCTTTTGAGAACTTCTGTGTCTGAAAATACCTATATTCTTCTGTCTTTATACTTAATTTCATTAAATTAGTAAGGTATAGTATTCCAGGTTGGAAGTCATTTTCCCCGGGAGTTTTTAAAGCATTTGCCTCCAAAGTCCTGATGGTGCACTGAGATTGGGTATCTCGGGGTTCTGGGGGGACTTCTCAGAAAGGTGAGCTGGACAGTCTTGAGAGACATATGGTGACTCTAGCTGGGTGTGGGTGGCAGGCAGTGCACCCAGAGGGCTGAGCCTGCACGGAAGTGACTACTGGGTGGAGGAGTGGATTGGCTAAAGTCACAGGGGGGACTGAGCTGATTGACTTAAATGACATGCTTCTACCCACCACCCCCCTTTGGGTTTTAGAAAGACGACTCTCAAAGTCTCCTCAAGAACTTGGAGTCTAGCATACAGACCCCCTCGGAAACAGGCTCCCCATTGACAAGGAGGAAGAGAGAAGGGCAGACGTCAAAGGATGCAGGGGCCCTGGAGGTAAGCCTGTGCTTGGGCTTGGGTATCAGATGTCCCACCTGGCTTCCCAGGTGTCACGCACGTAAGCCTCTGACAGATGTATTTTTCCAGTAGGCTTCTTTTCTGAGGTATAGTCTACATAAGATAATATGCACAGATTTTAAGTTACAATGTGGTGAGTTTTGACATATGTGAACACCCGTGGAACCGAAACCCCATTGAGAATGTTTTTATCATCCCAAAAATTCTCTGGTGCCTCTTTCTGGTCAGTGCCCCCACCCCCACATATACACCCCCTTCCAATCATACGTTGGATTTGTGGTTCTAGTACTTCATATAACTGCAAGCACCTGCTTTTTCGTGCTGCACTCCCTCGACAGAATGCTTTTGAGGTTTACCCATTTGGTCGTGTGTGTCAATAACTCGTCCTTCTCATGGCTTGGTAGCAGTCCATTGCGTGCACCTGTCACGATCTGTCTATTACTCACCGTTTGATGCATGTTTGGCTGATGGACTGGGTTGTTTTCTGGGTTTGGCTCTTATGAATAAGGCTGCTGTGAAGGATTGTGTACAAATCTGCTTGCTTTCATTTCATTTTATTTATTTTATTATTATTATTATTATTTTTTTTGTCTTTTTTCGTGACTGGTAACAGGATCGCAACCCTCGGTGTCGCGCCTGCACCACGCTCAGCCAGTGAGCGGACGGGTCTCTATATGGGATCCGAACCCTCGGCGGGAGCGCCGCCGCACTCCCAAGCGCCACACTCAACCGAGTGCGCCACCGGGCCGGCCCCCATTTTATTTATTTTAAATAAAAATCTAAGGGTGGTAGTGCAGTACCTCTGGCAGAGATGTTCAAAGGTGGATACACCCTGTTCCTTCCCGACTGGTGCCCTCTGTCCCACCTGAGCCTGCCCAGGGAGCACTGCTTCCCGAGCGAGCCCCGTGGAGAGAGAGAGCACAATATTTCTAGCTACTTTCTGGTCCCCAAGAAAGTACTGCAGAGTTAGTCATTCAGCCTCACTTGCCCAGCGGCAGGCAGGTAAGTAGGTAGATAGATAGATGGATATAGATACTGATATAGATATATAGATATCCTGGGAAGAGGGAGAGGTTGAACTGACTATTTTTTAGCATCTGCTGGGTGCCAGGCAGTTTTACATACAGCATCTGTGAGTAATACAAGCACTCCTGTGAGTTCTCTCATGCAATTCTCTCAGCCCCATGAGGCGGATCTTATTTATATTCCCATTTTCCAAATGAGAAAACTGAGGCTCAGGGAGATGGGTTGCCCAGCTGGGGAGTGGCCGAGCTGAGCTGTGTGCTGGCTCTGTCTGGCTTCTGCCCAGGTGCACTGCTGCCCTCGCCCACGGCCTCTGCCACTTTCTGTCATGTCCCGTCATGCTCCCCCATGTTCTGCAGCTCAGTTTTGCTGTGGGAGAAAGCAGGCAGGGTGTCTTAAAATGAATTTCACCAAAGGTTTAAAATCCACAGGGGTTGGCTTCTAGTTACACTGAAAAACCAGTCTTCAAAAGCCACCACTGCCCACACTTCCCAAAGACCCCAGCAGCAGAGCTCTCCTGGCCTACGTGGGTGGGACCCGGTGGAAGCAGAGTTGCCCTCCCCAGGGCTGGCACCCACCAGTGTCATGAGAGGTGAGAGCCAGCTCCCGCTGCTAGGCCAGGAGCAGGGCTTGCGGGAGGTGAGCCTGCACTTGCACGTGGATGCTGTGTGTCTCTAGCTCCAGCTCCCTGTCCCTGTCTCTGTGTGTCTGTCTCTCCACATGTGTCTGCGTGTGTGTGGATCTGCATATCTCTCTGTGGAGCCTGTGGGCCATCTGTCTACATGCACATCTCTGGGGTCTCAGTGTGCGTGTCTCTGCGTGACAGCGTGTGTGAGCCTGAGGGTGTGTGGTGTCTCCCTGTCTCTTTGTTTTCCCCTTTCCAGCTTCTCTCTCTCTCTCCCACTCTGCCCCCCTCTCTCTATACCATTAAAATTCTGCTCACAGAAATGAAAACGTGTCCACACAAAGACTTGTGTACAAATGTTCATAGCAACGTTATTCACAACAGCCAAAATGTGGAAACAACCCAAATGTCCATTGACTGACAAACAAATAAATGTGGTCTATCCATACAGTGGAATATTATTTGGTCATAAAAAGGCATAAAGTACTGATACGTGCTGCAGCATGGATGAACCTTGAAAATGTTATGCTAAGTGAAAGAAGCCAGTCACTTAGAAATGTCTAGAACAGGAAAATTTATATAGACAGAAAGTAGGCTAGAGGTTGTCAGGGGCTGGGGCAGGGAAATGGGGGGATGGGGCAATAAATAAACGGTACAGGGTTTCTCTTCGATGCGATGAAAATGTTCTAAAATTGTGGCAATGGTTGTGCATATCTGTGAATATACTGAAAACCATTGAATTGTACACTTTGCATGAGTGAATTGTATGGTGTATGAATTATATCTCAATGAAACTGTTTAAAAAAACACAAAAACAACCCTGCTCCCACATAGGGTGGCTTTGGATGGGATGAAAGCAACACTGGCTTTGGGATCCAGAATCCAGAATCCTGGAACTCACTGCCAGCTCTGCCACGTGTTTGCTGTGTGATGTTAAGCAAGAAACATAACCTGTCTGAGCCTCAGGTTTCTCACCTTTACAATGACAGTAATGATGGTGGCTCCCCAGGGTTACCCAGGGCTGAACTGACTCCTGTGAACAATCCTGCCCTAGAATAGGAGCTCAATCAATGCTTGCGGGGCGCCCAATGTTAACTCATTCTTTTCTGCCTAGTAATGTTTTACCTGTTAACCGTTTAGCTGCACCTACCAGATGCGCATTATCAAGCTAATCATTGCCAAGAGTTGAGTTAAAAATCTGCCTGTTCCAGTGACTGGCTTGCCAGAATTCCCACCTTCTGCAGGCCAAGCTCCTCAACGTATGTGGCCGACTGTTTTTAGCCAGACGAGGCAAGCTCTGACTCTGTTGTCCTCTAGTGCACAGAAAAACAAGGTGTGTGGCTTATGCCACTCCTTGGATGAACTCTGCTTAATGAATAGCTCATATCAGCCAAAAACAAACAGAAAATTCCAGAAGGCTCCGAGGCCTGCTACTCCACTCCTTCAGTCTCTCCATCCTGTTCCTTTGCTTTGGAGGGAGGGGGAAGGTAGATCCTTTATGCATGCAGTATGTGTTTGCTGAAAAGAACATCTTCATGTCGGTGAGTGAAATGGTTTTTCTTTCCTACAATTATGCTTTAGCCAATTTTCTGAATAATTGTGTTGCTTCAGCTCAAGGAGTTTTGCCTTGTACACTTGCACTCCACCCAGTTTTCTGGATAATTGTGTTGCTTTGGCTGAGGAGACTGTCAGAGTTTGGAGGACATCTAAACTTAATAAGGAGAGCTTTCAAAATCTGGGAACAGTGGATCCTGTTCAGGTAGCGGAAGGCTGCTCACCCCTTGATTCCATGTGCTGAGTGCTCGGGGCTCCCTGCTGGGATTGCAGCTGCAGCTGGATGGGGTGGAAGAGACGCCCTGGCTCCCAAGTGCCCGGGACTGCTCCCACAGGCCTCAGGTGGACGCTGCACCAGCATCCTTTTCTTCTAATTGTGGTGTTCAGACCAAGTGCAAGTTTTGTTTCATGTCTCCCCTGTTTAAGATGAACTCCTGGGAGGCAGGGCTGTGCTTCCTCTCAGTCACATCTCCTCCTTTCTGTTCTTTTCACCTCATTTGTGAGCAGTTTAAAGGGCCCTTTCTGCTTTTGCATCTTTCCCTGGAGCAAAGGTGTCTCCCCTGGAAAATTGGCCAGGGCCGGCATCCTGGGCCTGCAGCCTGCACCATCACAGGGACCGTGCTCAGCAGGGCCACCCTAGGCTCCTGGACTATGCCGTCCCCAGCCTAAAATTCTTAATCATTTCTCATAAGAACCACATTTGCATTTTGTACTGGGCCCCCACAAATTATGAAGCTAGTCCTGAATTCAGCCTTATTCACACAAAAAAAATCTTCAAGCAGAGAGAGGCTGGATGCTGTGGTTGAGAGCAGACTGTGCTGTGCACTCCCAGATCAGAGGGGAGCCGGGAAGGGCTTTAAGATGAGTAGCGATGGGAATTGTGTGTTTAAGAGATCATTTGAGTCCCACATGGAGAATGAATTGGAAGGTGTTAACCTCTGAGCCTTAGTTTGCCCCTCCATAAAATGGGCATGATAGTAATAGTCTGACCTCCCCACGCTGGCTACAGTGTGATAGTTTATTGAGCACATATGCACAAAGGGGCGAGCACATAGTAGGCCTTCAGTCCATGGATGGGGAACCAGCTGGGGGCTCTGGCAGCCCTTCAGGGTAAACGTGGAGGTGGCTTATGCCGAGGCTGTGGATTTGAGAGATATTTAGGTTTTGTGGTTGACTCGATGTGGAGAGTTGGAGTGTGGGAGTGACAAGGTGCCACTGCATCTGACGTGGCTTACTGGGCACAGTAAAGCCAAGCCCAGGGCCTTCTCTTCTGAACTCCTGCTTCCCTTAAAATGTCATGGCTCTTTCTTTTGTCCTTGTTTGTATCATGCCGAAGGAGCCAGATAAAGAGGGTGGACCTGGGGCCGGCAAATCTGAGTTCAGATCCCAGTTCTGGCATTTGTTAGCTGTGTGACCTTGGGCACATGGCTTAGCCTCTCTGTGTTTCGTTTTCCCCATCTGGGAAGTGAGGCGGTCTCCTCTGTGGCAGGACGCCCAGAAGCTGAGGGAGGCGGCTCACGCTGGTGCTCTTCCCGCATTCACGCCATCCAAGCCTGTCCACGTGAGTGATGAGACAGAAGTGACGAGAACCCAGCCCCCAACACGTAGCTTCCCTCCTGCCCTGCTTGCAAGCATGTGGCAGTCAAGCCCTCTTGAGACAGATACAGGCCACATTGCTGGCTCAGTCAGAGGCTGTTTCGACACCCCAAATTTTGAGCAAGCGATAAATCCTCTACGTTCACCATGACAGGGCGTCTTATTGCAAGGTGAACTGAGCAACTGGAAGTCGATCGTGTGTTATGGAGCTCTTTCTTCAAGATGTAGTTGAGAAGCATCTAAGTAGATGCAGACTCCGCTACCATCGGTCAGCATGTTCAGAGTTGTTCAGCAGGAGGTTCTCGTGGTCCTGGCCTGCCTGTCTGCTCGTCTCTTTCACTTGCTGGTTGTTTCCAAAGTCTTTATGCAACACTGACTTTGCAGAGTGCAGGAGAAGTAGAGTAACCCAACAGGAGAGAGACAGAGGATGTCAGGATGTAGGGCAGGCTGTGAATAAGTCCGTCCAGCTGCAGTAAGGGAGGGCTTCTTAGGGCAGGTGATTCCTGAGCAGGGTCAGACAGCAGATTGTTACCACCGCTACACGCAGCTGCCCGTTGCTTAGCTTGCTTAGCTCCTCTGTTCCAGCGGTGCAGCTGGGAGCCTTAGCTACACAGTCCTCGGGGCAGACGCTCTGCTTGTTTACCATGTGGGAAGACTAGGCTGGAAGAAGTTAGAGGACTTGCCCGGCCACTCCTTTTGTTTTAGGGTCTAATCCAAAATCTCGTGTGAATATCGTCACGTGTATTTATATCCCCAACAATGCAAAAATTATTTTGTGTGTTGCCTTTTTCCACTTAAAGATGGTTTATAATTATTTAGGAGACTCGTTAGTTATTCTCATTATTCAAATCCCTCTTTCTTACAAAGCTGAAAAACTAGAATTAAGTGAAGAATATGCCATTCTCTTTTGATAGCATTTGTCTGTCTATCCATCTCTCCATATACCTATCTGTCCATCCACCATCTGTCCATCTGTCCATCCATCCATCTGTCCATCCACTCATCTCTCCATCCATCCTTCTAAACTTACCTGTGGTGGTCCCTTCCTGAGGCCACTCTTACAAATGGAATGTGGCATTTTGGAAGCTCGTGGCAATTTACGCTTCATTTTACAGAAAGCCTTCCATGTCTTTTGTTTTCTCTGCTTCCCAGCAGGGTGAGCCGTCTGTCAACAGCAACGTCACAGCATTTGCACTGAAGGCAAAAGTCGTCTACCCCATCAATCAGAAGTTCCGGGTGAGAGTTCTGAGCTCCATCTTAGAAACGCATTTAGTTTAATAGTGTACCAAAGACTGGGGCGGGAGTGGGGAGATTAGTTGTGTGATTTGGGGCCCTATTTCAGGGTTTTATGGCAAGTCATTTTAATAGGAATAATGCTGAGGCTTTGTGAGCAAAACTTAGGGTTAATCCATTTTATGACCACGTTGTCAGGACAAGGCATGCCCATGGCATATCAAGGACCCAGCGTGGGCTCTGGGGTCTATGCCTGAGGGGCAGGGAGGTTCAGCCCAGCAAACAACCAGTGCAGGGTGTTTCAGGTGGGGGGGGCAGAGTCTGGAAAGGCCCCTGAGGAAGACATGACCAGGCGGGGCTGGAGCTGTAGCCAGCTCAGTAGGGCTTGGGCATGTGTATCCAGGAGCAAGGGAAACAAGGCTGGACAGAGGGGACAGCCTGCGTCTGCTGAGCCTACAGCTGTGCTGGGTGCTGGGCTCTGATTCAGGAGGTCATGGTGTGCTGGCTTGACTCCTTGACCAGGAGGTTGGAGCCTGTTGGGGGAGAGGGGCCTGGGGGAGGAGGGTGACCCTCACATCTGTGCAAGTGAAGAAGAGTAGGTGGTCAGCAGGGTTAGTGGACAGAGCAGGCCGGGGGTCTGGGATAGCAGCGAGAGAGGTGGGAGAGGGCGGGAGGCTGCTATGGAGGAGGTCAGAATTGGCAGCTAGGGATGGGGTGCAGGTGTATGTTTGGGGAACAGATTCAGATTAGAAGCTTAGGGGTAGGAGGCGCGTGCAGAAGGGCTGGCCTCATGGGGACAGGTGAGGCACAAATAAGCTGTGATTTGGGGCTCTGGGGCATGAGCATGATCCTGAGGCAGAAGCTCTGTGTGTCCACTCACACCCCTGACCAGTCAGCTCCAGCCAGGCCCTCCTGTGAGCCGCCATCGTGTGCCACCAGGAGCAATTGCTAGAACAGATCCGTGATGTGTCACATGGAGTAACAGTAATTTCCCTTCTGCCGTTCCAGCCTCTGGCTGATGGATCCTCCAACCCATCTCTGCATGAAAATTTAAAGCAGGCTGTTTTGCCGCACCAGCCCGTGGAGGCCTCCCCTTCTAGCAGCCTGGGGAGCCTGAGCCAGGCCGAGAAGGATGAGTGCAGTTCCTCATCCAGCATCCACTCAGCCACCAGCGACAACAGGGTCCTCAGCCGCACCTTCCTCCGGGTGAGGACCTTCCCCGAGGTGCTAGCCTGCGAGAGGTAAGGAGGAGGAGGCCTGTGGTTTGGAGCCAGTCAGTGGGTCAGAGGAGGAAACGGAGGCCCACAGAGGTTAAGTGATTCAGCCACAGACATAGAGCAACCCAGTGTCAGAGCTGGGGATGTTTGTCACTTACTGTACAGTGTTGGCCTGCACTGGAGTTACAGACTCAGGCCTGAAAACTGGTGTATTAGTCTGTTTATGTTGCTATAACAGAAATACCTGAGACTGGGTAATTTATAAAGAACAGAGATTTATTTGGCTTACGATTCTAGGACAGCTGCATCTGGCACAGGCCTCAGGCTGCTTCTACTCATGGCGGAAAGCAGCAGGCAGCCGGTGGGTACAAGCAGATCACAGGGTGAGAGGAAGCAAGAGAGAGAGAGGAGGTGCCAGGGTCTTTTAAACAACCAGCTCTAGCGGGAACTAATAGAGCAAGAACTCACTCAGGACCCTCACCCCCCAGGGAGAGCATGAATCCATTCATGAGAGATCCGCCCCCATGACTCAAACAGCTTCCAACACTGTCACATTGGGGATCAGATTTCCACATGAGGTTTGGGGGAACAACACATCCAAACTCTGTCACCTGGGGAGAGATGGCAAGGTTCCTCCTTTAAGCACTAACGTGCCCGTGCATGGCATCGCAGCAGCTAGCGTGGACTAAACGCCTTCTGTGTACTGGGCAGAGTGCCAAGCGCTTTGCAGGGATTAATTATCTTAGGAGCACGACGACCAGGTCCCTTGTTCACTGCTGTGCCCCTATTTCCTGGCAGGGGAACCTGGGACAGGCTCAGTGATCAATAAATATTAGTTAATGAATAAACGAATTGCTAACAGCCCTATGAGGTGGTACTATTATATTCCCCATTTTACAAAGAATAAAGTGAGACACACAGAAGCTGACTGCCTTGCCCGATGTCACATAGCAGTGAGTGACAGAGCCAGGTTTGACTCAACCACCTTCCCTTCGAAGCCCATGCTCTAAGTCACCAAACTCTCCAGCCCAGAGCAGGGCTCAAAAGTTCAGTGGTAAGTGCTCAAGAAACTCAGTGTGGCAGGTCCGTGTATTGGTCCTCCGGCTCCCTTCTGCTCTGAAGTTCGCAGAGTCCAAGGGGTGTGATGAACCAGGGCACGGCTCGGCTCAGGGCTACGGAAAGAATGGGCTCAGAGCCTTGAGCTCAGTGCTGACCCCGAAGGTGGCCCAGGGAAGCAGAGGTCTTATTGAATAGGAGCCTTCTTGGACCAGCCAGCCCAGGATGAGGACGGCTGGTTTTCAGAATCCAGACTTAGAGGATTTGCAACAGTTTGGGTGGGAATGTCATCATTAAAGATGTATTTGCTATGAGGGAAAAAAGGTCAAAGACCTTTATTTACACTCTGCCACTTATCTGCCTGACTCAGTTTACTCATCTGTGAAATGGGCATAAGAATGTCTCCATTTTGGCACTGAGGCAAGATTACACATGATGACAGATGTGAAAGTGCTCAAAGAAGGATATATTATTTTCATTTCTCTTGCCATCCCTCTCTTCATATGTTTTATCTTGGATGTCCCAGGCAGCTTCATCTCTGACACTAACTGTTCCCTTCTGGTCATTCACGGGTTTCAAACAGCTCATTTGATTCCTTCTTACAAACACTTGGGCAGGTGTTAGGAATCTCAGCACACTGCAGAATGAAATCTGGAGTGAGATGCGCTGTGGCTTGTACTGAGCAGGGATGTGTAATGTTCTGTGACCTCACTCCTCATTTCGAACACTCTGAAAGTCTTCTCTGCTTCTCTTTTGATATTGCAGTGCAGACATTGACCTGTGTATCTATAACCTTCACTTAAAAGATCTGCTGCACTTGGACACAGCGCTGAGACAGGAGAAGCACATGGTAGGTGGAGGTGTTCACTTTCTCTCCCTCTCATGGGGACAGGAACTGGGAGACAAGGCTCCCTGTGTCCTTGTGACCCTTGAGAAACTGAGCCACCCCAGGGGAGGGGAGTGGTGGCATCTGGCATCCGACCACAAAATGGAAAAGCAATTTGTGCCTGCAGATGGGGCACAGCCTCTACTTTAACCAGAGCTATAGGGGCTTAAGCAGAAAGATGAGTGAGAACAGTATCTCCAAAGGAGCAGTAATACCGATAACACGTGTGAGCACTGATTTATTGAGTGCTTGCTGTGTACTAGGGTCTGCAGGTATTAAACAGGTGATTGCACTTAAACCCCACCACCGCCCAGAGAGGCGTGCACCATTATTATCTACACTGTATAGGTGAGGAAGCTGAGACACCGAGAGGAAGACTTGCCCCAAAACATAAAGCTGCAGATGTGGAGCCGAGATGGAGAGTCTAGTCCCTTTTTATAGGCATGTGTTCTCTGACTGAATAAATGAGAAATCAGAGCCATAGGCATTAGGAAAACAAGACTAGTCAGATCTTTGCCAGATGCACGTGGTCTCTGGTTGAATCAACCCTGGATCTGAGCTATGGGAAGCCAGGCAGGTGAGCCCACTACGGCTACAGAACCCCCGATGGGCATAGCCAGGCACCAAGACTACAAGTTTAAAGGGAGGAATTATTTTTCCCTGAGGCACAGTGTCTGGATTGTTGAATGAGGGATGAGACCTACAGAAAAAATGGAGGAGAGATAAAGACTCTTGGAAAGAGAAAAGGAGAAAGACAAATGGACACAGTGACAGAACCAGAGACACAGACAGACGGATTTGCCCACAGGGCGCTTGGTTACAAACTGGAGAATAAAGGAGTCCCAAACTGGGGATGCACCTCAAAGAAATTTGGGCTCTGTGTGAGCAGGACTGGCCTCACAAGTACGTGCCAGAATTTGCAACCATAAATTATACTAGAATTCAAGAAATAGAACATGTCCCTGCACCCCACCTGCCCCACCCCTGCAGAGGTCCGTGGACATGACGCACCTTTTAGTGGGCCACACCTGATCTCCCGAGGGGCAGGTGGCTCAAGCTATTTTCTCAAAGGCTATGTGCTCCCCAGGAGGATTGGTTGTTTCTGTGCTTAGAATCCCAGTGAGCCAGCAAGTGAGTCGTTCTGGCTGGCCTTGCCCCTGGAGAAGCCAGCAGGTACACACTGAGAAGGCAGCCTGCTGTCGCGGGGAACCTTCTCCATCAATCACCACCCAGCACTGGTGTGTGGCCTCCTACCCTGCTGGGCACAGTGCCGAGCGAGCACTGGGGGACAGTGCCTGTCTTTATGGAGCCCACTGTCTGGGGTGGCAGGGATAGTAAACAGACATCACAGAATACGCAACAGCAAACAGTGTGACAAAGGCAACTGCCAAATAATGAGGGGCATTTGAGCGAGTGTAGGGCTGGGGAGGGGTCAGACTTCCCTGGGGAGACACATAGCAGGAACCTGGGGGAGTTCCAGGATCACTGGATTAGGGGTCAGAGACTTGGGCTCTGTTCCACCCTCTGACATTTAGGAGGTGTGTGTCTTTGAGTAAGTGTCCTTCCCTCTCTGGGCCACTTTAGGAAAGGTTTACAGGAAATATCCTTTCAGCTCTTACTCGGTGGGATTACTGGGAAGTCAAGTGGTCCCACTTTGAGAGGGCTCCATGGACAAAGCCCTGGGCTCTGTGCAGGGCTCTGTGCAGGGCATCCGTACGGCAGCATCTTGACAGCACTTAGGCTCTGCTGGACTCCTTCCGTGCAGTTTCACTGATGAGGAACCTGAGGCTCAGACAGGTTGAGTCAGTTGCCCAAGGTCACACAGCTGGTGGATGACAGAGTCAGAACCGGAATGAGATCTGTCCGAGGGCGAGGCCCGTGTGTCCCCAGGGCCCAGCACTGCACTCTGCCCGTAGCAGGTGCTCCAAAGAAATGTGTCCTGGGTGCACAAAGGAGTGGCCCTGCCCTGGGAGAGTGGCTTTCCAGGATGGCCTTTCCTTCATGCAGGAGCTCACCCTCGTGGTGCACAGGGTCTGCAGGAACATGGTGAGCTGTGGGAAGCTGTGCACATGAACACCACAAAGTGTCGTTTTTCTGGAGATCAGTCAGGGTTCAGGAGTGATTCAGACCAGGCGTGACCATCACACAGCCCAGAAGGTTGGAGCGCTCTGGCTGGCCCTGGGCTTGTCTAGAAGGTAGGGAAAGCTGCAGTGGTGACCTTTAAAATCAGAATGGCAGAGGTGAGAACAGATCCAGGGATGTGGGGGGTGGGGATTGAATAAAGAGGTGCATCAGGACAAGGGAATTTCTCATGGTGATGGAATGTTCTGTATCTTGATTGCGGCAGTGCTGACCCGAATCTATTCATAGGGTAAAATTGCATAGAACTACATGCACACACGCCAGCACACGCACACACACAAGAAGTGCATGTAAAAACGAGCGAAAGCTGTATAAGACCTGTAGTTAATAGTATTGAACCAATGGCGATTCCCTGGTTTTGGTATTATGCACAGTGACATCAGATGCCAACCCACGGAAAGAGCACGCTCTGTAAGATTTTGCACCTTCCTTTGAGTCTATAATTATTTCAAAATTGAAAGTTTAAAAAATGGCACTATTTAAAGGGATAGGATGAGGACTGTAAATGTTGCTGATTCAGTGTGGGGTCAAAAAGAAGATGGACTACTAACATCTTGAGAAAAGAATGCTACTGTGTGCCACCTTGGGCTGCAGTGGGTAGGAAGCCAGGACACCACTTCTGCTAACTTTCCATTAGCATTGGCAAACGTAATGAAGGGTGGTGGAGTTTTAGGTTTGAATCTCAGCTGCGTCTCTCATTGCTGAGTGACATGAAGCAAATTGCCCAGCTTTCTCAGCATGGGTGAAGTTTCTACCAACCTCTCCACATGTTGTGGAGACCACATGATAGTCCATGTAATATATATACTAGTTTAGCACAGAAGAGAATTTAACAAAGCTTAAGCCATTAAAACAGAGATTGAAAATTATGGCCCTTGAGCCAAGTCTGAGCACACCCATTCTTTTACAGATCACTTACAGCTGCTTTCATGCTATAGCAGCAGAATTTAGTTGCAAAAGAGATCTTACGGCCTGCAAAGCCAAAAAATAATTGCTGTGTGGCCCTTTATAGGAAAAGTTTGCTGACCCCTGCATTTAAAAATGTTTGCTGTACAAACATGTCTAACTGACCTTTGAGAAAAGTGCAAAAGCAATTCAATGGAGAAATGCTAAGGTTTCAATAAATGGTCTTGGAGCAATTGGGCATCAATAGCAAAAAAAAAAAAAAAAAATGGACCTTGACCTAAATTTCACACCTTATACAAAAATTAACTCAAAGTAAATCACCTCCTTAAATGTAAACTATAAAACTCTTTTAGAAAAAAATGTGAGAAAATCTTAAACTTGACATTGAAAGCATGACCCATAAAAGAAAAAATAAATAAATTGGACTCATCAAAATGAAAAGCTTTGGCTCTGAAAAAGATCTTGTTAAGAGAATGAAAAGACAAGCTACAGAATGAGAGAAAATATGTGCAAATCACATATCCACCTAGGATTAGAACCTAGAATATATAAAGAAATCTCAGATTCAACTGAAAAAAGGAAATAATCCAATTAGAAAATGGGCAAAAAATGTGAGCATTTTACCAGAAAGGATACACAGATAGCAAGTAAACCCATGAAAAGATGTGTAATGTCATTAAGCCATTAGGGACATGCAAGTTAAAACCACAATGAGAGATCAGTACACACCTATCAGAATGACTAAAATAAAAAATAATGACCATAACAAATGCTCACAAGGATGTGGAGAAACTAGATCATTCATAATTGCTGGTGGGAATGTAAAATGGTACAGCCATACTGAAAAATGTTTCGGCAATTTCTTACAAAACTAAACATGCAATTACTAGAAGACTCAGCAATTGGATTCCCAGGCATTTATCCCGAGAAACTTAGGGTTACACAAAAGCCCGTACATGAATGTTTATAGCAGTGTTATTTGTAATAGCCCAAACCTGGAAACAGCCCAGATGCCCTTTTTTTTTTTTTTTTTTTTTTTTGGTAGCTGGTTGGTGCCAGGAACTGAGCCTTTGACCTTGGTGTTACAAGGCTGTGCTCTCACCAACTGAGCTAACCAGCCAGCCCCCCCCAGAAGTCTTACTATGTGTGAATAGTTAAACAAATCGTGGGTAGGGCACTCTCTGCACTTTTCTGGGTGTCCCTGCTTATGGGAGGGCCCTTCTTGGTTTTGGGGACATCTTCATCTGTGGAGACAGGAGGCTGGAGTGGATGACTTTACATGTCCTGATTCCGTAGGAGATTCTTTCACAAGGAAGCAAGCTCCCCCTTTGCCTTTGAATTTCCTGGATTCATATGGTAATGGGGAGTGAGGGGGGGCCTGTGTTTGTTAAATAAATGAAGAAATGAAGGTTCTTCAGAAGCTTCATGAAAATGTAATCCCTTATAAGCCATTGTCAAGATTTATCATCTGAGGTCTTTTCCTATAGAAAAAGTATGTGTGGGGAGAGAGAGAGTAGAGAGGCAGGAGAGAAGCAGCGAGGGAGAGGGGACGGAGACGCTGCTATTTGAACCTTTCTCTTGTTATCTTTCCTGTTTTGGCAATAGGTGTTTATTCAGATCTTTAAAATGTGCCTTCTTGACCTTCTTCCGAAAAAGAAGTCTGACGATGAATTATACCAAAAGATTCTTTCAAAACAGGAAAATGTGAGTATGTCTTCAAGCTATATTTCAAGGTAATTTAAAAAATAGTTTATTATAATACATAAAACATAATGTTATGGGGCCGGACTGGTGGCACACTAGGTGGAGTGTGGCGCTTGGGAGCGCGGCGGCGCTCCCGCCGAGGGTTCGGATCCCATATACAGACCGGTCCGCTCACTGGTTGAGCGCGGTGTGGGCGCGACACTGAGGGTTGCGATCCCATTGCCGGTCGTGGTACAGGCGCAACACTGAGGGTTGCGATCCCATTACCGGTCATGAAAAAAAGACAAAAAGGAAAAAACAAAACAAAACATAATGTTATGATATAAAACTTTTTTTTTTGCTTTCATGTATGAAAATAGTTTATTACGATGTACACTTTTAAACATAATATAATGATATATAAATGTACGTATATAAATATAAAAATAACAATGTGTATTATTAAAATTTGCAAAACAATTGAAAGCAGAAAAACGAGAAAAATGTTGGTCATACCCACCTCTCGAAGACAATCACTGTTAATATTTTCTGCACGAGTAGCGGGTATTTTTAAAGGTATCACTCGTTTATTGGTTATAGCTGTTTATACTGCTTTGTATTCTACTCTTCTCAGTCTTTTATAGAAAGTTTATATTGTGTCATGTGCAGCAAAAGAGTTAGGGCTTGGTCAAAGGTGGCATCCTGGTTCTATTTTTTACAAGCTCTCAGAATCCTAGTACCCTTCTTTGTGCAATGAAATAACTGCTGTCCTATGGGCATGCAGAAAGGTTAATAGAAATGGGGGTGAAGCCCCGGCACAGTACCAGGCCATGAATATGTGATAGCTGCTGCCATGCTCGGTACCACACCACTGCCACAGTCGTCACCATCCTCATATCGTCATCACAGCTGCCATCATTTCACTTTCTTACCACCACCATCACTACTAATGTCATCATCATCTTCATCAGCATGTCGTTGTTGGCATCGTCATTATCACCATCATCTTTGTCATCATCATTCTCATTACTACCATTACCACCACCATCATCATATTTATCAACAGTGTCATCATCATCCTCATGACCACCACCATCTCCAACACCATCATCATCATGCTCCTCCTCATCACCATCACCATCACCATCGTCTTTGCTGCTGTGGTCATCAGCATTCTCATTTCCGCCATCACCATCATCGCCATCTTCCTCCTCTTCATGACCATCATCGTGACCATCGTCTCCATCATCTTCACTGCTGTGGTCATCAGCATTCTCATTTCCGCCATCACCATTGACATCATCGCCATCTTCCTCCTCTTCATGACCATCATCATGACCATCGTCTCCATCATCTTCACTGCTGTGGTCATCAGCATTCTCATTTCCACCATCACCATTGACATCATCGCCATCTTCCTCCTCTTCATGACCATCATCGTGACCATCGTCTCCATCATCTTCACTGCTGTGGTCATCAGCATTCTCATTACTGCCATCATCCATCATCATTTTCATCAGCACCTTCATCATCATCCTCATTATCACCACCACTGCCATCATCTTCATTTTCATCATTGTCATTATTGTCATCATTATCGTTACTACTCTCTGCACCACTGTCATCATCTGCATCATTGTCATGATCATCTTCATTACCACGACCGTCACCAGCACCATCACCTTCATCATCCTCATTGCTGCCACCACTACCTTCATCTTCATTATCTTGATGATGGTCATCGTCATCATCCTTGTTAGCACAACCATGTGATTTGGGGATTTGAGAGGGAATATTTTTCCTCCACTCCTCTGGATTCCATAGGGAAAAATTACTCACTACATCCCAGGTGTGGAGGAGGTAAATCATCTTCATCATCATCCTCAGTACCACCACTACCATGATCATCATCATCAGGCAAGACACATAGTGCTCGTCGTACATTATTTCACTTAGTATTTATGGCAGCCCTGTGAGTGACTACTATTTTGTTTTACAGCTAAGGAAACTGAGGCTCAATGAGTTTAACTGACTTTCCAATGGTTAAAGTAATTACAATGGTGATTATATTTGTAATTATACCAGTAATAATGAGACAATACTGTATGTCATAACAGGAAGAATAAGAGTTCTGGAGTCTGCATACCTGAGATCAAATCCCACCTCTGCCACTTACAGAGGTTTTTGACCTTGGGCAAGCATCTTAATTATAATAGTGGCTACTATTTCTTGAGACAGTCTAGCCAAGTGCTTTAAATTCATAATTTCATTTAATACTCACAACAGACTTGAAACTTCTAGAATAGGACAAGAAGCACTCAGAAATGGCAGTGGCTTATTGGGTCAGGTTGATGCATGAAGTTGGAAGAATAGGGACAAACCTAGCACTGCCACTTCCTGCCTGGGAGGCTTTGAACAACATATGTTTATTTCCCATATACCAGGTTCCTCATCTGGAAAAGGGCTATAATGTCTCTCTTGCAGAGATGCTGTGAGGATTAGAAATCACATATAGCCTCGACTTGGGTCCTCAGTAGCAGTTTTCATCAATGTTATTTTTTCTAATGAATCTGGACTCCCACTGTGTTGGTTACACAGCAATGAACACAGCTCTGGAGAAAATAGAACTGCCTACCACATTCCATATTGTAGTACAAAGGACTTCATACATAGGACACTCCTTTTCTTTCCTGAGTTCAGAATCAACTGAGAGACAAAGGGTCAGGGAGACAGATATAGAAATGTCAGCTCTATTACTGTAGAGGCTTGAAGGATGTGGTTTATAAGTGCAGCAATCATGGCTTCCTAGTACTGAATCCCAGAATGAGTTCAACTGTCTAACTAGTCACCTGCAAAGCTGGGCTAATTGAGGCTTCCCCACAGGGATGCAGGGCCTTTGCTGACCAGATCACTCTAGGCTGAGACTACACCAGAGCAATGGCCTCCCCTGTCGGGCCTCTCTGAGCCAGAGGCCGACAAAACCGAGCGGGAAGAGACCCCGGTCCAGCCGGGGGTCCCTTGTGGGGCTGAGCGGGATGATGAGTGTCGCGGGCACAGCCCTTCCCCCCCAGGACCTTCCTCCCCGGGGGCCGAGAAAGAACACCGCCGAGCCAGGAGAGTGGTCAAAGCCGGAACTCCGTTTATTATTACTTCCAGCTTTTGGAGTAGTTTTGCCAACGTGAGCTACAGGCACTCCCAAACCAGTGGTAAGAAGAAGAAAAAAAAAAGAACCTATTCTGACGTTCTAATTTGTTAGAAAATAGTAACTTATTACCTTTGAAACTTTTCTCATCTTTCATATGAAACTCTAGGATTTGGGGAATAGACCCAGTTGATTTAATGGCAGGTATAGGGGAATATTTTGAAATAGTGAGGGCAGAAGAAATGTTTTAAGTGTTTGCTGAAGTAAAGCTTCAAGCAAAGTGGGAAAAATTATACAGTTCTGAGGAATAAGAGCAATGGATATTTTTTAATTCACTGGAGCAAAATAAAGCTTTCTGGAAATATAGACAGATAAGTGGGCAGGTGAATAGATAGATATATAGACAGATTTCTATTTTTAACTGAAATTTTTCTCTCCACAATCCAATCTATTTCTCTTTTTGCTGTGACCTTTCCCCCGTAATAACTTCGTATAGCATACATTATACGAAGTTATACGAGTGATGACAGGGCGGGCAAAAACTGCTTAGTCACTGGGCCCCGGAAAAGAAGGACTTCTAGCTACGTGCATTAAAGCGCTCGTGAAACGGCGGCGGAGGCCTTACGCCAGCAAGATGGCCACCGCTTGATCTATTTTAGGGAACAGGAACCATACTTAGGCAGGCGCCTTATGATTTGATTGCACTGCAACATGGCCCAACACTCCCCTGAATGGTTCATCCCAAAGAGGAAGTACTGGGTGAGCTAAGCTGCTGCTCACTTCCTGCTCTTGAACCCACCAGTCAAATACATATCACTTTCCCTTTCCCTAAGGTGCAGTGAGTAATTCCTCCCCATGGAAACCATAAGAGGAGAAAAGAAACATTCCCTACCAATCCTCCGGATGTTGTAACATTTTCCAGGACTTCACGATGATTAAATGATACTATTTTGTTGTTTTTTAAGTATGGCTTTTGTCTTTTTTTTTTTAGGAGAGTGATATAGAAGAAAATTATTCATTATTCTTGAGGCTCTGTGTTTAATAAGAAAATAGATTTTTATCATCAAACCTTAAGCAGGACAAAGCCCAGAGCATTTAGTTATTAAGAGAGATTTCATGATGATGTGGTGAAAAAAAACATTTGTTTTTCTAGAATTTAAGAAATGTAAGATATTTTTCTTTGTTTATTTGCTTCCCCCTTTCTCCCCCAACAGGATTTGGAGGAATTGGAAAAGGGACTTCAGGTCAAACTGTCAAACACAGAAATGCTGGGCGCTGGTGATTCTGCCTACACCACCCTGGCAGACGTGGAGAAGAAGGAGAGAGAATACTCTGAGCAGCTGATAGATAATGTATGTGATGGGTTTTCTTTCCCATATAAAAACCTTGGTTTCTGGGACAGTTTAATTGGCTAGATTAAAGAGATGATACCGAGAAACACATTTAATACTTGATTTCCCTGTCCTGTTCTGCCCCAGAGACAGGGATCCGGTTTCTAAAGTTAAGCAATAGAGAAGGTGTAATTAAGGAGCAAAGATTTACAGAGGGAGGTTTTTTAATATAATGAATTCCCCTCATTTAAATTTTAAATCAGTCTTTTTATCATTCAAAGCAAAGATTGCTATAACGCTGGATGTCGTTAGTGCCCTGTGGGGTAGATAGATGCTAGCTGCTCACTTCTCAAATGCTGGGCATCACTCATAAAAGTGGGTTTTAAATTCTGGAGAGGATAGCTTCCCCAGATGTCCCTTCTTTTCCTCTTGGGTTCCACCACCCCCTGCTCATATATTATGTATTAAACAAACATTTCCTCGGCACTTGCTCTTCGCCAGGCGTTGTGCTGGCTACTGGGGATTCAGCACTCATTTAGACCTGTCCCTGCCTGACAGAGGCTCACACCAGCCTGTCAGGGAAGACCGACAGGTGAGCAGATGAGGACCTCCTGGGGTTACAGGTGTTGCAACAGAAGGAAACACAGGGGAAGGCCCAGGGGAAGGCCGAGGAAGGCCCAGTGGAGAGGAGTTTGTTTTGCCACAGTATTAGGGAAGTCTCCACAGAAGAAGGGACCAGCAAGAGGCTAGTTGAGAGAAGTGTGGGTGCCAGCCAGTGGGTGGGCAGAGACGGGCCAGGAAAGGCTGGGGAGAAGGCAAAACAAGGTAAAGTTGGAGAGGTCTGGCCAGAGGGTTTGCATCTTATGCCAGGGAGGTGGGAGTCATGGAAGGTTTGAAGCGGGGTCTGGCTTGGTCCAGCTTCTGTTTTAGAGGGATGCTCGGGTTGCTGAGTTGAGAGCAGTTGAGAGCTATTGGGCTAGTCCAGCAGGAAGTTCACTGGGGCAACCACAGTAGGGATGGGGAGGGGAGGAAAAGTACAAGAACTGACCCAGTGGTGCACCGTGGGTGGCAGGTGGGGAGGGAGGTGGGGAGCCCAGCCTGGACGTGTTGAGTGGAGGAGCCTGGGGATGGAGGGTCTCCGTGAGAGGTCATGGAGGGCAAGAGAGTTCTTAGATCTGTGAGCCAGGGTGACATTGCTAAGGGGGAGGGGCTTAGCCTCGATTCCAGTGGTCCACAGACTCCCCAACTCTATGGAAAATCTTGTCCATGTCTGCATTTTTCAGAGAGAGGGTTCATAGTTTTCATAAGATCCCCAAAAGTACTGGTGACCTTCAGAAATGGAGATGCCTCCAGACTAGGAGTGTGTGTAGAATGGGAAGAGAAAGGGGCCGGCCCAGTGCGCCGCTTGGGAGTGCGGCAGCACTCCCGCTGAGGGTTCGGATCCCATGTGGAGACCGGTTCCTGCTCACTGGCTGAGCGTGGTGCGGGTGCAACACCGAGGGTTGCGATCCCGTTGCCGGTCCCCGGTACGGGCGTGACACCGAGGGTTGCGATCCCGTTACCCATCAGTAAAAAAGACAAAAAAAAAAAAAAAAAAAGAACGGGAAGAGAAAGGAGCCTGGTGCCAAATCTTGGATGCTGCCAGCATTTAAGGAGGAGGAATGGAGGAGAATTGGAACTGTGTGGGGCTTTGAGGAGGCCAGAGGGAATTGAGAGTTTTTAAGGAGAATAGAGTGGACTTCTGGCTCTCTAGAACTGTCAGAGAAGGGGCAAAGCTGGTTGCACTTGGAACCGTGTTATGGATGTGCAGGAGTTCATGGTTGATAGCTGCGTTCTCTTACAGCACTTGGGACAAGGGTAGCGGGAGAGCTTGGGGTGCTGGGGGAGGTCTGTGGTCCCTCCTGGTGGGGATGGGATGAGGAGCTGACCGGCAGCAGATACAGGGTTTACTGAGCCACAGTGAGGCCCCTGAGCTGGGAAGCCAAGCTGTCGAAGAGGTGCCAAGACATACAGGTGCAGAGCCAGACTGACGCAGCACTTAAGTTTAACAGAGGAGTGTTAGAAGTGCCGTGACCTTTAGTCATAGCAGCAAGGTCAGCATGGGGTTCTGGTGCCACTAACCCCTGTCCCCTCCCATGCCCTGTCCAGCAAGAAGTGTCCATTCTGGCATCTGGGAGGCCCAGCCAAGACGGAGAAAATACCAGCTGTGGTGTTAAATGGACCTGAACCAAATCCTGCCTCTTGTTAGTTCTGTGACCTTCGACAAGTGACCTAACTTCAGAGCCCGTTCCTATGTCCTCCCAATACATATTTTATGTAGAAATAAAATGTGTGAAGCACAGAGCCTGGCACATAAACTTCATGCCATGAAGGCAAGTGGTTACGATTCCTGGTGTCTATGTTCTTGGAGCTCTGGGAGGTTGCGATGGTGCAGATTAAAGTCCCTGACATCCTAAGCTCCTTGGCGACTCCTGGCTCTGCAACTGATAAGATGAAAGAAAAAGGAAAAAGGTTTTAAAGCCAAATGTTTTCAGTGTCAGCATCATCTCTGCCCACATTCCTTTTTTTTTTTTGCTTTTAGGTTAATAACTAATATTTAAATGGCCATTTGCGCTTTAAGCCCTTTTAAAGATCCTGAAGCTTCCAGGAGCACATTGTCACATGCCATGTGCCCCAGGTGTGATTGCCACCTGTTTGAGGGTCTTTGCATGGGGCGAGCACATCACTTTCCTTCCTTGTCAACAGTGCATTGCTGTTTGCTGAAAAACCGTCTCAAAACTGTGTGGCACCTGCCGTGGTGGGAGGAGGAAGCTCTCTATAGAATGTGATCATAGCCGAGATAAACTCGCTGGGATTGTAGAATTGTTTAGAATCTCTGTTTGTGATCAGGCATGAATTGTAATTCCCGAGCACTAACCATGTAGCTTTCTTAAACAAGTTTTCTCCCCCACCTCTTGCTTCTCATGCTGATTTCGCAGATGGAAGCTTTCTGGAAACAGATGGAAAGCATCCAGCACTTTCTTGTGGACCAATTTAAGTGTTCCAGCTCTAAAGCCCGACAGCTCATGATGACGCTGACGGAAAGAATGATTGCAGCTGAAGGGCTATTGTGCGACTCTCAGGATCTCCAGGCTCTGGTAATGCTGGAGGGGGCGGGGAGGGAACATGTGAATATTGAAACAGGAGATATGGAATCCAGAGGCTTGAAGCACCTTGGAGATCATTAAGTCAAACTCCTTTATGTTGTAGGTAGGGATACAGAGCCCCAGAAGAAAGCAGTGGATTCATCCATCCATCCACCCATACATCTGTCCATCCATTTATCCACCCACCAATCCACCCACTCACCCACCCACTCATCCACCCACGCATCCACCCACCCACCCATCCATCCATCTATCCAGTAAGTGGAGGTGCTCGCCAGCTCAGTGTTACTACAACATAGAGTACTGGTTCTCAAACCTTGAATTATACATTGAAATTATCTGGGAGCTTTAAAAAGTACTGGTGCTTGAGTCCCAGATGGGTCCCCACCCTAGAGATTCTGGCTTAATCCAGTTGGGGTTTGACTTGGACATTGGAGTTTTTAGAGCTCCCAGGTGACGACAGTGAGCAGCCAGGGTTGATGACCCCAGTGTCAGTGGAGCATTGATTTGCTCTCCTGACTGCCCCCTGTGTCACCTGGGGAGTTTTTATAAAGTTCTTATGCCTGGGCCTGACCTTAGAAATTCCAATCTGCTTGGCATGGAATGGAGGTCCTGGCAACTCAGGTGTTAAAATTCCCAAAATTTCTCTGATGTGAGGCCAGGGAGGCACACCCCTGGTATAGAGGAAGCCAAGAATCCTGCTTTGAATCCAGGCTCAGCCACTTGGAGCTGTGTGATCTTGAACACGTTACTTAACCTCTCTGAGCTTCCATTACTCTTTTTATAAAAGAGTGGTTTTCTAAGAGTTGCCACAGACAGGACCTAGGTTGGTGCTGAGTGACTCATAACACCCTAGTCACCATCGGGTTTCTCTGTGCAGGCTCTGGGCTTGTCCCATGTGCAAGGCCTCTGTGTGCGAGGCCCAGGGAACATGTCTCTGATGGTTCTCTGCACCCATTTCCCTGTCCTGTGCACTGCCCAGGTGACACCCCTGCTGAGAACCCTCCAACAGCCACCTGCCCTCAGTGCAGACTCAGCTCCTCAGGCCCGTGGAGAAGCTGAGCCCGAGCAGGTCCCTGCTGTTCACCGCAGGCCTCTCCCAAACTGCTGTGCTCCTCCAAGTATGGTTGCAGACCAGCGGCATCAGATTTACCCGGGAGCTGGTCAGAAATGTAGAGTCCCACCCTCCCAACCAGAACCTGCATTTTAGCAAGACCCCCACGTGCACACAGTTGTTTGAGAACTGGTATGCTTTTTCTCATCGCAGGCACACAGTGTTTCTTTTCTGCTCGGCGCTGCTGAAAGATGGGCACAGCAGAGGCTTCACTCCCAGTGAATGGATGAGGGGCCAGCTCAGTGACTCATTTAGGGTCCTCATCCCATCTAGTGACACTGCTGAGCCTCAGCCCCAAGCTCCTGGCTTGCTGCCCAGGCCCCTTTGACTTGGATTTAATATGATAAGGTTGCTGACTCGTATTAATGCTCATCAAAGGAGAAGGACTGTTTTTTTTTTCCTTTTTTGTTTGGCTGCCAGCAGGATATTGATACAGGATAAAAAAAGATTCTTAGCTGGCACTGGCCATTGTATCAGCCAGTAAGTTCCAAATAGGTAGAAGGGAAGGGATTATCCAATTTAACAGCATGGCCCTCCTTCAGCCAACATTTAGTGAGCGCCTGCCGTGTGCCACATTCTGTTAATGGAAAGGCATTGCAGAGGTTAAGAGTGCAGACTTGAGGAAGAAAGCTGAGCTCCAGCCACAGTCTTGCCATGGATGAGCTGTGTGATCTTGGGCAGGTTACTTAACCTCTCTGTGACTCAGTTTTGTCATCTATGAAGTGGGGACCCTAACAGCACCTGCTGTCTCCCAGGGTAGTTGAGAGTGTGAAAGAGTCGACAATGTCTAAGATCCTTAGAGCAGAGCCTGGCACACAGGAAGCGCTCACTGCGTGTTAGTCATTGGAATCCTGCAGATCACACGTGTGCAGACAAAATCGCCGTGAACAAATCATTGCAACGATGCAGGGAAGGCTACCATTTGTGCTTGTGCAGAAGAGGGACAGATCAACTCTGCCTGCATCTTGTGTAACAAAGAGGGAAAGGTAACTTCCGTATATCAGACCATGTTATTGATAAACTCCAGAAGAGTGTAAGTTCTCAGGAAGGCGTCTGAGCAGTTCCAGCCTGGGCAGTTGACCTAGAACGTGTCAAGAGCATCCCTTAATGTCACAACTGGAAGAGCCCTTAAAGGGACCATGAAGGTGATCAGATTCAGTATCTCAAGATGTATGAGAAAAAAACGGTTGCGAACAGGGATGTGGGACTTGCCGTAGGTGATTAGGAGACCAGTTGATGCTCGTGGAGCAATGACTCTGCTCTGGCCGTTGTTCTGAATGCTTTACATAACCTTCACATCAGCTCTGTAGGTTAGGGGTCAGGTGAGGAAACTGCCCAAGGTCGGGCAGCTCTGAGTGGCAGAGCCAAGCTTGAGCTCCACTGCCTCAGAGACTCTGCTCACTCTCAGGGCAAGTGGTAGCACCAACACTTTCCCATCCGATGTCCCTCTGTTCATGCACCTCTCCCTGCGCCCATCTTCCCTTGCATGTAGACTCATCATCACTGAACCCTGCGTTGGACTCTGGGCATCCTCACCCTGCCCAGTTAGAGGTGGCCAGAGCTTGGGCCCCTTCCCTCCACCCACACCTGGCACCTCGGCTTATCCTCTTGCGCCCTCTAGGGGTCGCGGGCCACCAACTTCCGCCAGCTTTGTGGGATTGCAGGAGAGGAAGGATCAAAGCGTCTGTCATTGGGGAAATCATTCTCCTCGCCCAGTCGCACATTGTTAGCACCCAAACCAGCGTGGTTCAGCAAACAGTGAGCTGGGGCTGGGTGGAGGGGACACCAGTGACGCAGGCATGGCTGCCGTCTTCAAGGGCTCTCAGTCCTGCCTGAGACTCTTGCTCACAATTAGTCCTCAAAGACAAGGCATTACGACAGCAGAGCACAGAGGAGGGGACCAGAGGGGTGGGGAAGATTAGGGGACGGAGTGCATAGGAGTCCATAGGATGAGTAGGACTTGGCCAGGCAGTGCAGCAAGGGTGCTCCAGGCAGAGGGCCCCACGTGTGCAAAGGCTGGGCAGCCCTGAAGGGCCTCGTGTGCCATGCCCAGGAGATTGGACCTGATCCAAGGGCAGCAACAGGAGGGTTCGGGGCCTGGGGTGACAGAGCCACGTCGGCGTCTCTGAAAGGCCCCTGTCTGCTATGTGGTGGGGGGGTGAGAGCAGGAACGGACCATGGTGTTAGCCCAGGACAGAGGTGACAGGGCCTGAGCTGGGTGTGGCTGTGGCCCAGGTAAAGAAATGCGGAGCCCTAGCCAAGGGGGGCAAGGTCCACCGGGCGTGGTAGAGGCGGCCCCGCCCGCTCACCCCACCCTTCCTCCCATTCAACAAGCACCTGCTCTCTGAGACATGTGGGGTCCCGCATCTGCCTCTGGTCTCCACTTCCTACTGTCTTTTCTAAGTCGTGTCCCCTAAAATGATCATGTGGCAGGGCAGGGAGGGGCCTGCTCTAACATCTGACAGCTGGGGAGTCACACAAACCCAATCTTACCCTTGAAAATCTCTAAAATTGCCAGGAGTCAGGCTCTCTGAAGTGCCAAAGCCAAGAACTCCTGTAAATTTCATTGTTTTTCCTTGTGGTTCTTTTCCAGAAATGGAGGAATGGAGGCCATGGGGACAAATGGATTGGGGGAGGGAGGATTATAAGAAAGGTGGATTTTCCTTTTTTATTACTTGCATGTGTTGGATTCTCTCCCATAAGAGTGACCCTCAGCGGAGCGCTTGGTAGGTGCTGAGTGCGTTACGGTGCTTTCCCAATGTGGGCCTCCCCACGTTCCTGGGAGAGGCGTTTTTATCCACCCCCGAGGCTCAGAAGGAGAGTGCATCCGCCCGTGCTCTGCTCATAGGGGGGCCGGGGTGCAGGATTGGAACCCGATCCTCCCACAAGCCACACCCTGAACAGACCCTCCCGTGTCCGAGCACTGACCCGGATGCCCGGCCTATTGTCCCGTGTGTTTCTCCTCGCAGGACACCCTGGAGAGGACGATGGGGCGAGTGCACATGGCAAAAACGATCGAGTCACTGAAGCTGCAGATCCAGGAGGAGACCAAATGCCGACTGGCCGCCATTTCCCGCAGCCTGGAGCTGCTGACCATCGAGGGGAAGCTGTCCGGGCGGCAGAAGGAGGAGCTGCTGACCCAGCAGCACAAGGCCTTCTGGGAGGAGGCAGAGCACTTCGGCAGGGGTGAGCGGGCAGCGCCGAGGGCCGGGGCGTGGTCCCTGTGTGGCCCGTGAGAGCTAGCACAGCTGCCATCCAGTCCTGCCCTGGAGACGGGTCACTTAGCTTCTGCAGGCCTCGCCTCTCCTCTCTGTAGAGCAGAGTTAATGCCGGCCACTGCCCAGGGCTCCCCTTAGTCATCAGCGGTTCAGGCTGGCAGGGACTCCAAAGTCCTGCAGCAGAATCACCCGGATCATTGAGGGGCAGAGGAGGGCAGAGGGCCTCACACCAGAAACCAACACAGAAATGCCCAGAAGGGACCCGCGTTGCTCAGCTGTAGCCCACAGCCCTGCTCAGCTGCGGGGTGGGCCAGGGTGTGTCAAGGTCGAGCGTGTGGAGAGGGGAGCCTGGAGTGGCTGAGCTGCACCCCTGGGACTGACCTTGGAGGGTGGACAGGGCAGGGCTTAAGACTTAGAGGTCAGTGGGACCCACAAGGAGAATCCCAGGTCTGTCACCTTAGGGCTGGTACTGTCTCTGCAGCCAACACCAGCTGCCTCTGCCCCTTGGCAGGAGATTGCACGGGTGGTCCCCACTGAAAGCCTTCCTAGGAGAGTCACCTCCTGTGGCTTATTTCAATCCCAGAGTTTGTCCAGCGAGGCAAAGAGCTGGTGAGAGAGTCTCTAGTCCACCTGGCGGAGGAGATGGCAAAGCTCTCGCTGGCCCAAGAAGAGGAGCGGAGAAGCTTCCTGGCTGAGGCCCGGCTCACCACCGACTGGGAGGACTTCCTCAAGGTGATCCACACCCCCGTCCTTAGGCACACGTGGGTCAAGTCGGGTGGTGGCTCAGTCCCCATTACCATGCACAGGAAGCCAGAGGCATCCATCAGACATGAGGTCAACTCTTCAGCTCCCAGGTGTCAGTTGAGGGATGTGGCCAACTCCCTCAGCCCCTGTGTCCCTCATTCCTCCCCTGTAAGCCGGCGGTGAGGGTCACAGTGCCCTCACTGGGCTGCTGAGAAGGACGTGAGAGGATCATAGAGAGCTTGGCAGAGCACTGGTGCAAAGGAGGGTTGGAGGGAGTGTTAGACAGGCCAGAGGGGACACACGTGTCCCAGAGTGCAAGTCAGGCTCACACGCCCAGGATGGGGCCCCTCATGGGTCAGATACAAATGCAGGGGAAGGGAAGGAGCCCTCAGCCTGTGTGTGGGGCTGGGCAGGCAGGAAATGGGGAGTGGCCAAACTGGAATATGCCCTTAGTCTTGCCTGGGAAGGGGACAGGGAGACACATAGGAGGACAGGAAACAAGATGTCACCCTCTTGAGGGAAAAAGAACCAGCTGGAGCCAGCACAGGCTGGAACGACCCGGGCTTGCCAGGTCTCAGAGAGAGAACAGAACTGCTCTGCCCCGTGTGTTTTCCCTGGTGATGGGTGATGGGGTGGGGGAGGGACTTCTTGTCCGTGGCATCTGCATGGAGATTGGGTACTGGGGCCGGGGCAAGCCACCCCTGGGTTTGAATGCTGACTTTGCTGCTAACTAGTTGAATGACTAGCACATCGCTTACCGCCCCCTGCCCCCACCCTCAGCTTCCTCATCTGTGAAATGGGAATGACAGTCCCTGCGTCACAGTGCTGTTAGGATTCGGTGACACCAAGCAAGGGGTAGCATGGCCTGACTGTTTCTCGGGGTCCCTCTGCCCTGTGTTAGCTTTTGGTACAGCTCATCTCTGCTCTGCCGAGGCGATGGTAAGACAGGGTCTGGGTCCAAGCTTGGCCTAGTACACAGGCAAGGTGACCATCCCCAGGGGGCCAGCATGGTGGTGGCAGCAGCAGCACCTCAATAAGAAGCTAAGGGACGGGACCCCCTGAGAACAGAGGAGCAGCCTTTAGTTCCCTGGTCCAGCTGCCCCTTGCTACCCAGGAAGCCCCTTTCAAGGTCCATGGCTGGGGGTTGCCAGGGTTTGTCATAAAGGGGTGGAGGGCTGTTTCTGTCTTTGACAAGATCTATTTGAAATAAGATGTGATTATTCAGCTGTTATTCTGCAGTTCCTGGGCCGTTCTCCCTGACATCATGTTGCTCATTGTGAGATCTGAGTGTGGAGAAGGTGAAGGAGCCATGTCTTTGTCCCAGCACCTCAGCATGGGCCAGGTGCATAGCTAGGGTATAGGAAACATGCGATGGAGGCAGGGAGGGTCGAATGAATGCATGAATGCATGCATGAGTGAATGAATAAACTAACGAATGAATGAATGAACGAACAAGCAAACGAATGAAGGAAGGAAAAAATGGATGAACAAAAAAACGAAGGACTGAATGCATGAATGAGGGAATGAACGCCACACTCGAGCACACACCTGGCGCCCTCCCTTTGCTGGTCCCTGTCCTCGCTCACTGGCCTCTCACGTCACTCCAGCCCAGGGGCCAGTGGATTCCTGTCTCTTGGTCTTTGCTGCTGTTGCCCTTACACCTGGATCGCCTTGGCTCCCCATCTCCCCTGCAGGGGACCCTTCCTCATCCTTGAAGACTCTCTTAGACATTTCCCCTCTCATGCCCTGCTGTGTACTCTGACTGTGTTGGGGCCTCTGCTGCATGGACTGGTCTGTCCCGTCTCCCTGCTGCTCTGCCAGCCTCCTCAGGGCAGGGTCCAGCCAGGTCAGAGCAGGGCCTGGCTGGTCACTGGCCACACTAGCTTCTGATCACCTGTCTGTACCAACCCTATGAGCTCTCCCAGGTGAGTCTCCCAGGGCCTGGGAGGCAGTCCCCTCCAGCAGCTGAATCAGAGAATGATGTCTGGGTGGCCAGTGGCCCCTCCTCACACTGGGTTTAACAAAAGCACAGCTTGTGGTTTCCTTGGAAATCAGGTTTGTTGGCATGGCCTCAGCTGTGGAAGCCACATGGCAGCCCCGAGCCGTGGTTTCCATGTATATGTGTCAGGGGCAAACATCCTTCCCGTCTGAGAGGCAGGGATCAGCTAGAGAGAACTTTCTGGAAAAAAGAATTTGCATTTTTCTACCAGTTTCAGCTCCTGTTTTCCTCACAGGCTTTTCACGAGGTGCTGGAGAGGCAGAGGTTGACAAGGAGCCACCTGGAGGAAGAGGAGGACGTCAGAACCACCGAGGCGGTGGCTGCACTCTGCCAGGTATGTGGGACCTCAGGATCTGCGTGTACATGAGAACCTCATATTCTCCTGGCTGGGGACCCCAGAGGCAGGTTCAGGTCCAACCCTGGCACTCACTGGCCAGGCGACACGGGCAGGCCACAGCCCCTCTATGGGTCCTCCCTGTCCACATCGGAAACCCAGGAGGTTGGTCCAGGTTCTCTCTGAGGCACCTTCCATGTCTGGGGTGCTTGGGACTCTCACCTCCAAATGTGCCTGTAGGAAAAGGTCTTTGGAAGTCAGTTCTCCCAGGATGCAAAGCAGACCCCTGGCATTTGTGGGTGCCATCAGTGTAGAGCAGTGACAGGGAAGGAGCCTGGGATCAGTGTTGGCACTGCCTCTTCCTCTCTGTGCAACCTCGGGCAACACTGGAATTGGGAGGGGAAGCCTACGGTGCTCACCTCGAAGGCTGGCTTTGAGAGTGCCGGAGAGAGCACAGAATGTCAGGGGCCACTGGGGTAGGCTGACACGCAGGATAGAGCCCCTGCCTCAGGCAGTCCCTGGAGCTGTCAGAAAGGTGAAACGTGGACCCCTGGCTGTAGGAGTGGGTAGCACCATGGAGGAGGGTCGATCTGGACCAGAGTGCCTCGGTCTGCATCCAGTCTCTTCCCCTTCCTTGTTGCATGGCTACAAGCACATCTCCTAGTCCCTCTAGCTCTCAGTTTCTCCATCTGTGAAATGACCACAGTGATGGTCCTTCATCATGGTGGTGTTGTGAGGACCAAATGAGTTTGAGGCCCTCAGACAGCAGCTGGCACTCAGGACATACCCAATCTGTGTCAGCCTCCATCAGATGTCCCCACTTATGAGTACAGAGAAGAGGGGTGAGGCACAGCAGGGGTGAAGGTGAGGTCAAGGACAGCAATCTGCAGGAAGGGTTGCCTGAGCTAAGCTTTGAAGGAGACAAAGGGACCAGGAGAGACATGTGCAAACACAGGAAGTGTGACCCATCATCGCAATGGTGGCTGTACTGGGTTGAACACTGTATCAATCAGCTCAGGCTGCTGTAACAGAGTGCCACAGACTGGGCGGGTTAAATGACAGACATGTATTGTCTAACAGCTCTGGAGGCTGGAAGTCTAAGATCAAGGTGCCAGCAGGGTTGGTTTCTGGTGAGGCCTCCCTTTCTGGCTTGCAGACAGTCACCTTCTCACTGTGTCTTCACGTGGTCTTCCCTCTGTGCTCGTGAGAGTGCAGAGAGAAAGAGAGAGTGCGCTCTGATGTCTTTGGCCCTTAAAAGGACACCAGCTCTGTCAGATTAGGGCCCACCCTCATGACCTCATTTAACCTTAATTATCTCCTTAAAGGCCCTACCTCCGAATACAGTCACATTGAAAGTTAGGGCTTCAACCTAAGAATTTGGGAGAGGGACACAATGTAGCCCATAACTGTGACCCACAAAATTTCATGTACACCTGGAACCTCAGAATGTGATTACAGTTGGAACTGGGGTCTTTGCAGTTGCAACTAGTTAAGATGAGGTCATATTGGATTAGGGTGAGCCCTAAATCTAATGACTGGTGTCCTTATACAAGAAGACACAGAGACACAGGGAATAAGGCCATGTGAACATGGAGGCAGAGGCTGGAGTGACGTGGCCACAAGCCAAGGAATACCTGGGGCTACCAGAAGCCAGAAGAGACACAGAGGGATCCTCTCTTAGAGCCTTTGGAGGAAGTGTGGCCCTGCCAACACCTTGATTTCCAACTTCTGGCCTCCGGAGCTGTGAGAGGATAAATATCTGTTGTTTTAAGCTCCCCAGTTTGTGGTGTTTTGTCATGACAGCCCCGGGAAACTAATGCAGCAGCTGATCTTTGCTCGGGGCAGCTGCTGTGGTAAGAGCTTTCTGAGTAATTTGGTCATGTAATGCTCATGAGAGTCCTGTGAGGGGGACACTGTATCTCCCTTCTTCTTTGTGGAGCTAGGAAAGGCCTTCTTGAGAAATGCACAGGGTGGGACTCAATTTGTCAAAGCACCAGGTCCACCAGGCAGGAAAGGAAAATCCTCATCTTCTGAGGAGTCAGTGCTCAAATCCCCGGGCTAGGAGTGAGGAAACCAAGTTCCATTCCTTATCCGAGTGCTAACATGCTGTGTGACCATGGGCTGGTTACCTAACCTCTCTGTGCAAGCACCTTGCTCAAGTTCTACACAGCCAGCAAGCAGTGAAGATGGGATATAAAATAAGGTCTTTCTAACTTCAGTGCTGATATTCTCACCTCTACCCACACTGCTGAGAGTGGACTGTGTAGGACAACAGTGATGGCTGGGCTCTGGAGTTCAAATCCCAACCAGGCCATTTTCTGATTGTTAGCTCAGGACCAACTTTTCTAACCTGTGCCTCAGTTTCCCTAATCTTTATGACATTCTGATGCACAGCAACATTTGAGAGCTGCTGTCTTAGAGGGGATGGGATGAGAATCCAATGGGCTGACACCTGAGGGGAGAAGCTATTGACATGGCCCCGTAGTTCCTGGGTCCACCTGAGCTTGCCTCTGGCAGGGGACAGTCTCCAGCATGCAACACTTCCTACCTTCAGCTGGGATTTGAATCTAAAATCTTGATCAACTGAGTCCCACTCTCCATAAAGCAAGGATAAAACACCCACAATTATTTCTGCAATGAGAAAACAGAGCAATACCTAGCAAAGCACCTGGCCAATCTCGATGGTGCTGGTAAATACGCATGTTTCAATAAAGGTTTGTTGCCAATGCTTCATCTGTCCCAGCAACATCCTTAGGATGTCATGCATTTGGTTTTTCTGTGTGTGTGTCAAGCTGCTGGCCCCTGAGAGCTTGGGCCAAGATGGTAAAGATAGAGCTTTTATCTAGCATCAGAATAAGCTGTCAGGTGTGGATGAGACCTGCTGGGTCTGTATCTTGGGAGGAGATGATTGGAAATGCACTGCATGAGAAGGAGTCTGGCAAAAGAAGGTACGCAGGGCATTCTGTGCATCTTCATGCGAGTTTTAAGGGAAGTAGCCAAAGACCTGCGTCAGCTGGTCTCCCAGAATTAGTCTGGAGGTTTCCCTGGATTTATTTTGTCATTTCATCTCAAGCCTTTAGGTTCCAGGTAACTTGTTTTTTGTTTTGTTTTGTTTTTATTGACTCAATAGTTGCATGTGTTTATGGGGTACAGAGTGATATTTTGATATATGTATACACCGTGCAATGATCAAGTCAGGGTCATTACCATATCCACCACTGCAAACATTTATCATTTCTTCATTTTCAGAACATTCGAACTCCTCTCTTTTAGCCATTTGAAAATATACAATAAATTATTGGTAATTATAGTCCCACAGCACCGCTATGAACACTAGAACTTATTCCTCCTATCTCGCTGTAAGTTCATATCCATCAACCACCCTCTTCCCAACCACCCCCACCAGCCTCTAGAAACCACCATTCTGCTCCCTACTTCTATGAACTCAACCTTTTTAGCTCCTGCATATAAGTGAGAATATGCAGTATTTATCTTTCTGTGCCTGACTTATTTCACTTAGCGTAATGTCTTCCAGGCTCATTTGTGATGCTGTGAATGACAGGATTTCATTCTTTTTTACGGCTGGGTAGTATTACATTGTATATGTACACCACATTTTCTTTATCCAGTCATCTGTGGTTGGACACTTAGATTGATTCCATATCTTGGCTATTGTGAACAGTGCTGCAGTAAACATGGGGGTGTGGATATCTCTTTGACATACTGGTTTCCTTTCCTTTGGATAACTACCCAGTAGTGAGATTACTAGATCATATGATAGTTTTATTTTTAGTTTTTTGAGCAACTCCTTACTGTTTTCCATAATGGCTATCCTAATTTACATTCCCACCAACAGTGTATAAGAGTTCCCTTTCCTCTTCAGCCTCACCAGCATCTGTTATTTTTTGTCCTTTTGATAACAGCCATTCTAGCTGGGATGAGATGACATCTCAAGGTGGTTTTCATTTGCATTTCCCTGATGATTAGTGATGCTGAGCATTTTTTTATATACCTGTTGGCAATTTGTATGTCCTCTTTTTAGAAATGTCTATTCAGGTCATTTGCCCATTTTTTAATTGGATTATTTACTTTTTTGCTGTCAAGTTGAGTTTCTTGTATATCTTGGATATCGATCTCTTGTTGATTACAAATAATTTCTCCCAGTATTCAGGTTGCATCTTCACTCTGTCAATTGTTTACTTTGTTGAGTAGAAGCTTTTTAGTTTGATGAAATCCCATTTGTCTATTTTTGCTTTGGTCGCCTGTGCTTTTGAAGTCTTCTTCATAAAATCTTTGTCCAGACCAATGTCTTGAAGCATTTCCCCTATGTTTTCGTCTAGCAGTTTTATAGTTTCAGGTCTTACACTTAAGTCTTTAATCCATTTTGAGTTGATTTTTGTATATGGTGAGAGAGAGGATTCTAGTTCCATTCTTCTGCATATAGATATCAAGTTTTCCCAGCACCATTTATTGAAGAGGTTGTCCTTTTCAATTTATGTTCTTGATGCCTTTGTGAAAAATCAGAACTATAAATGAATTCAGTAAAGTTGCAGGATACAAAATCAGCATACAAAAACCAGTAACATTTCTATACATCAACAATGAAGTAGCTGAAAAAGAAGCCAGGAAAGCAATCCCATTTATAATAGCTACAAAAAATAAAATACCTGGGAATAAATTTAAACAAGGAGGTGAAAAATCTCTACAATGAAAACTACAAAGCACTGAGGAAAGAAATTAAAGAGTACACAAAGAAGTAGAAAGACATACCATATTCATGGATTAAAAGAATATTGTCAAAATGACCAAACTATCTAAAATGATCTACAGATTCAATGCAATCCCTACCAAAATACCAATGACATTCTTCACAGAAATAGAAAAAGCATTTCTAAAATTCATATGGAACAACCAAAGACCCCAGATAGCCAGAGCAATCCAGAGCAAAAGCAACAAAGCTGGAGGCATCATACTCTCTGACTTCAAAATGTAAAATGAAC